TGGCAAGAAAGCCCTAAATGGGGTCATGTAGAGTTGGACACTACCGAATAATAACATTGCATATAATAAGCCACAAAAGAGATTTGTAACTTCATTTGATCTCATCAGTGATTACTTCTACAGTTATAATTGCCCTGCAGCAATGAGGCCCATAAAACTCCCAAGTGTGTGTTTGGGAGGTAGAGGGGGACTAGATTAAAATGTAATTGAGAAGTATTTTGCAAAATAAATAAAAATAGAATTGTAACCCCAGTCCCAAAGCCCGTTGGTATGAAACCATCTCCTTATTGGCGGATATCGATGCCTTGAGTCTGTGGAGGGGGAGGAGGGAAGAGTTGGCAAGAGACAGAGAATTTCAGCCTCTTGGGTCTTCTTCAAGAGTTATTTGAGTCTTCTTTGAGCGTTAAGTTGTTCTGGGTGCTTCTGGTTTCCAGTTTTGAGAGGGAAGATAGAGGCCAACCTCATTTCAGATTGCTGAAAGAAAAGACTCTAAGAAGACATAAGTGAAGCTGGAAGTCTTCATTATATCTCTACCCCTAGCTTGCTAGACTAGTGACTTTGGGAAGTTTCTTCTTTGGTGAGATCTGGGACTCTCTTGATTGAGTTGAGTCACCTCACTCCCAATGGGACAGCTCCTTCATTCTTGATTGTCTGGTATATATACCCCTATATATACTTTCTCTCGTTTCTATTTTTCTATTTGAATAAATGAGTTTCTTCACTATTCACTATGTGTATTCATTGTGGAACTGGTATTTGGTGGGAAAGCCTTGGATATAGAGCTCGGGGTCCTACTTTCCCTCAATTGTGAACAGTGAGCAAAAGTTAGATTGAACCTGAAAACTTCATCCCCTAAGAAAATAAGATTTAAGGGGGCAGATAGATATAATTCTGGCCCCATACTCCTTCTATGAGGAGAGCAGAGTGGTACCCTCTGGCTTCTATCCCCTGCTTCCCCAACTAGAAACAAATAGAGTCTCCTTTGGAAAAAGAAGGGGACAGAAACTAGAAATGTCTATTCTGCCTCTCTTTGATCTCCACAAAGACCCTCCTATGCCACATGTAGGGGATAGCCCTTGCTACACATGTAGGCCTCATTACACAATATAACATAGATAATCTTACTATGCAGTTTTCCAAGTCAACAAGTACCTGCAGGGATCCTTATGTATAATTTAGTGATCCGCATTTCTATTGAGTTTGACACCACTGCCCTAAGCCATAGTGGATTTTTTAACAAGTTACTGTTATAAAAAAAAATTTATTGCTGGGTAGTGGTCAGCTGTCTCGTGATAAAAGTTGTGTGTAGATAACAGTCCCTCACTAGGCCTGAACTCGCTGTAGTGAAACCTATCAGAACATGTGTTCTCCTAACATGGCAACATTCAAGAACCTAGGATCTTCTCCACTCCACAGTATAATTTTGGGGTTGTTGTTCATTGTTCATTTTCCTAGAAGACTAAAGACATCACAAGAGTGATGACCTCGGCGACTTCAATGTCTGACCAAGCTGTTGAGCACTCCACAAAGTGTGCTTCAGTCACCTTCATGGCCATGGGAACAAATTTTTCTCTTCTGCCCATTCCACTGAAGGAAGTCCTTGCATCCTTGGAGTAGACATCTCCCTGTCACTGAGGGGTTTGAGGTTGGTCAGTTACCCTCAACTTGGTTTAGCCCATCTGCCAAGACTTTTTTACTGAAATATGGCTGCTGTGTGTGCTATAGCTTCTTGGAGGACAGGTGAGAGTTGTAGACACCAAAGATGGATGAGTAGCTCTGAAAAGGGCTCAATAAGCCCTCACATCAGAGGTGTTAGTTGTCTCTGAACACCCCATATGACCTTGAGTAAAGGAAAGGGCTATATAAATACTAGCTATTATTAAATATACAGCAAAGAGAAACCACATGGTACAAGGGAAGTTACACCCAGTCAGGTTTCTTGAGTTCTTCGATCCTCATAGTCCCTTTAGGGGAATTTCTTGGAAATGGGGGAAATTTAACTCAATAAACATTAACTAAATGCCTATGATGTGCAACACACTATATTGTATGCTAAGGATACAATGAAAAATGACGCCACCCCTGTCCTCAGGGAGCTTCCAGTCTAATGGGAGGTTTTAACTTTTTTCCTGAATAAGTAGGCAAAAGGTAAAATGTAATGAACCAAAGGAAAGATTCAGATGATTGTTTTAAGAAAATTTGAAGATGTCACCTTTAGGTGAGGGGAGCAGAGAACTTTTGAGAGGAGGTGGACATGAGCTAGGTCTAGAAAGATCATAGGATCACCCTCCAGCTAGAGCTATAAGGGGTCTCACAGGCCTTCTAGGCCAACCCCCTTGTCTCACAAACGATGTATCTGAGGCCCAAGAAGTTGAAGAGACTGCCCCAAAGTCACAGAGGTAGTAAACATGAGAGGTAGCTGTTCAATGCAGGTTCTCTGACTCCAGAGATGGTAACCTTTCTGCTGGACAAGCTGTTTTCCAACAGCTAAGAAACATTACTTTAGAGATACGAGTGACAGCCTGCACAAATAAGTGCATAAAGGGTGAGAGGGCACAAGGTAAGCTCCAATAACAGCTAGCCCAATTTGGCTGGAATGTGTAACACATAAAGAGGTATACTGTGAAAGACAGCTGAAAAGGTAGATTGGCACCAGAAAGTCTCAAGTGAAAGGCAAAGGAGTTTTTATATTATCCTGTCCAAGACAGAGTCATAGCAGTTTTTTGAGCAGGGGAATGAGATAATGTGTTCATTGGAGAGATTATTTTTTTTACAACTACATGAAGAAAGGACTAGAGAGGAAAGAACCTGGATGTAGGAAGACAAAACAGGAGGCTTCTTCCATAGTCTAGGAGAAAGGAGATTTAAATCTGAACTAGAGTGGTGGCCTCTTCAGTCAACTTTTTTTAGGCTATTCCCTACCCACTCTCAATACTAGGCAGGAGGGGACATTACTTCAGAATGAGAGTCTTATGACTCCCAGACTCTTGTTTCTGCTAACTGAGAACCATAGGTAACTCTTGGGCTTTGTAGCAAGACCTTGGAGAAGGGAATAAATGACCAAACTGAAGTTGGTTGAATGAAGAGTGCCAAACTTCGAGCCAAAGGATATGAGTTCAAATCCCAGCTCTGCCACTTACAACCCCTGTGACTTTGGGTAAGTCACAATCTATCTGACTCTTTGTTTTCTCATTTGTAAAATGAAGAAGTTGGACTGGATGACCTCTAAGGTCCCTTCTTATTTCATGTCTATGATCCTGTGGTCCTTGACCTGGTGGAATTAAGATGCAAGTTGAACTTTGAGAAACATGTTTTTATTCTCATTACTTTAAGAATTAGACACCATTATTTCCTAAAGCTCAGGGAAAAGTTGATCCTCTCCTTTCCCTCCCCCCTTAAAAAAAAGGCATTTTTCAGTGAGGTAGACATTTAATAGCTGGCCAAGTCACTTACTCTCTGCTTGCCTCAGTTTCCCTATCTGTAAAATGGGGATAATAGCACTTTCCACTAGGGTTGTTGTGAGGATAAAATGAGATAATATTTGTAAAGCATATCACACGTTTAAGTGTTGTAAGACTGCTAGCTATTTTTCACTGTGGAACCATAGGCAAAGCATCTATCCTCTTAGTTCCCCAGCCAATTCTAACACTGAGTTGATGATCTGTATAGGTGAAGGGAATTTTAACACTAGGAGTCTCCCATAGCCATGAACTGACAAGTTAAGATTTAAAAAAAAAGCAATAAAAAAATCTACTTTTAATGCCTACAAATCCATGACCAGCCAAGATCCTTTTCAATTATCAAAGGTATTGGGCAGCTAGGTGGCACAATGGAAAGAGCACTGTCCCTGGATTCAGGAGGACCTGAGTTCAAATCTGGCCTCAGACATATAACACTTACTAGCTGTATGACCCTGGGCAAGTCACTTAACCCCCATTGCCCCCCCCAAATTATCAAAGGTATTAGACACAGCTATTAAACACTAACACTATATCTATACCAGGGAAGTAAGTTGAACAGCTAAGACAAGGTTTGATAGAAGTAGGGATAGGGAGTGGAATTCTGATTTCATATGTATGGGGAACTCCCAAATGAAGAAACTGTCCATTGATGCAAGTTAGCACCTTCTCTGAACAACTTCCCACACTTGGACACACACCTTTTAAGGAAGTGAGGGTCCTCTGGTATGGAACATCAACTTTTGTCTAACGTGCTGTTTGGTTTTTTCCATCTTCTTCCTCTTTTTAACAAAAATTCTTGTTATAAGAGATGACTCTTTGGTAGGATAGAAGGGAGAGATGGGGGGGACCTAAGTAATTAAAAATATATATAAAAAAATCTATATTTTAAAAAAATTTTCTAGTCTTACAGAGTTGCCTAGAATAATTCCCAGGGTCACATAGCCAGTATGTCAGAGCCGAGACTTTCTTGCCTTTTTTAGGGAGAAAAAGAAAAGATTTTAGAACAAATTACTTATAGTGATTAAACCTACTGAATAACTTCTCAACTAACAACAACAATAATAATAATAATAATGAAAATAATAGCATTTATATAGCAGTTTAAGGTTTGAAAAGTGCTTTATATGGAAGAAAGGAAGCAAGCATTTATTAAGCATGTACTATGTGCCTGGCAATGTGCTAAGAGCTCACAAATATTATCCCAGTTGACTCTCAGAACAACCCCGGGAAGCAAGTGCTATTATTATCCCCATTTTACAGATTCAGGAAACTGAGGCAGACAATGGTCAAGTGACTTGCTCAGAGTGACACAACAAGTAAGTGTCTGAGGCTAGATTTGAACTCAGGTCTTCGTAACTCCAGGTTCCAGTGCTCTATCCACTGTGCCACTAATATCTTTGCCAAAGCATTCAGTGGAATTAACCAAGTATGCTTCCACTCAGAGAGCAAAACCAGATTCACAACCTTCGAGCAATAATGAATGAATGTAGAAGCAAGGCGCAGGATGAAAAAAAGAGAGACATGTTTTATACACCTGGCTATATTCAGAGTGTAGGAGCTTTATTTTGGCAGTAGTACCAGTATTTCTTGATAATGAACCACATGACAGTATTAACACCACTTTGCTGATGTCTGGTAGGATGCAATTACAGCAGCAATATCTCCTGGTAATGTCTCCCAGTCCCTAGTCTCATTCCCCCAACATTTGGCTCGCTTGGCTGCTCCGGTGACTTATGTACTTCTACTGTGATCAGCAGCAGCACTTAATTGCTTTCTCCTCTTGGCTCTGAATCAGTGAATGCACCACCCTGCTGTACATTCCTTTTCCAGGTCACTGACCTGCAAAGAAAAGAGAACAGGGTCTCCTGCCAACACGTTTCGTTCCACTAGTCTCAGGACTCTATCTTAAACTGTTTTCAATTCCTTCTGTCTGGATTTTTCATGCCTTCTTCCACAGTTCTGAGTCACTGAGGCAAATGGCAGAGGTATAGATTCGTCTGTCAGGGGGGTTGTTTCCATCTAGGCGTTGGGTTTTGCAGTATTGAAAGGCATTTTACTCAAATGAAATTCAAGATCGCCAGAGTCACAGATGGGAGAGCAGCACAAACAGCCCTGAGTTTCCACTACCAAGTACCTGTGACCTAGACTGTATCCCCAACTATGGGTGGGAGACCTTCAAGTAAAGAAGGTACCCAAACTTGTTTGCTGCTACTAATTCTTTCTGAACAATGCAGGTAGACAGCCCTGGCATGGCAGGGAAATTTCTGGGAATAGGTTAGCTCAGAAGCAACATGATGCAAGGCAGGGACTGTGAGCATTGGGAAGTCAGGTGGGTGAGGCCTCTTAATGCTGTGGCAAAGTCTGACTTCTTTCCATTTTAGTTCTAATACAAGCCAGGGTTAGAATAGCCACTATTATGCCCTATAAGGCAACTACATGAGAAGCAGCTTGGCAAGATGGATAGAGAGCTGCCCTTGCTGCGGGAAGACCCAGTTTCAAGTCTCACTTCTGATGTACCTAGAGCAAGTCACTTAATCTCTCTTTGCTCAAGGCAGCTCTCAAAGATTGTAAACTACAGAGAAGGTGCTAATCTTCTCCGGTAAAAGGAGTTTTCTCTCCTGGGAATTCCCCTTACCAATGACCATGAATCCATACTTCCCCCTAAAGCAGCTGCAGATTTACTGCCAGAGGAGGAACATATTAGAAGGTATGTTGTTTTTTAAATTAGTCTTATTCCTCACATTTTTTAAAATGGTTAATAATTGGTCAGCCATTGGTGGGTGAATTGGTAGGTAAACATGTGCACCTAGAGAGTCCCAGGGACAAAAGGCCAGGACACATTGCAGCTGTGCCACACCCATCTGAGTGAATATCAAATATTTGAGGCAATTAGACATGTTTTCAGTTCCCATGAGAAAGTGCTAATAAGGGATAGTTCTATGTTACTGGACTGCATCAAGTTTTTAGATTTCAAATAGCTCTGCAAAAATAAACCACATATGCCAGCAGATGCTCTGAACTCTATCCAAGGCTTGAAGTCAGCAAACACTTAAAACTTAAACAGACCCACTAGGTTTGTCATTCACACCGAATAGCTTTTGACTGGCTTATAGAAAGGATGCAGCAGCCCATGAGACTCTCTGATGGTCTTCTGATGATGTGACAGTGGGCAGAGGAAACAGTGGCAGCACAGCCTCATACAGCATCTTTCAGGCTCCGAACCAGCCAGACTCTTGTCAGACATTGGGGAAAAGTCAAAATCAGCTACCTAAATGGATATAACCAAAAAAAAAAATCAATATAAACCTCCCACTCTCCTCTCTCTCCCCTTCTACTCCCACATCCAGCAAACTGACGGTCAGGTTTTCCTGGATCAGTTATGTTCATTTCTGATTTAGCCAACCAGGAGACTATCTGGGAGATAAAGAACAAATTGATGGCTGTCCCTCTGTTAGGAACAGAAAACATAACCAACTGCCAATGATCCAGGGATGAATTAATTATGCAAGCCTCATTCATAGACTCATAGCATAAATGTCAGAGTTGAAAGGGACTTGAGAGGCCCATCCTTGATCAGGAGTATACTCTACAACATTCTTGACACATCCTCATCCAGTTTCTATTCAGATTAAACAAACATTCATTAAACATCTACTAGGGCCTGGGTATACAGAGGTAAACACAGAACAAACCCCATCTTTGGGGAGTTAACATTCTACTGAAATACCTCTAGTAATGAAGAACTCACTACTTCTGAAGCTGCAGTTCTTTTTTTTGTTTGTTTTGTTTGTTTTGTTTTTAGGAAATTGGGGTTAATTGCCCAGGGTCACACAGCTAGTAAGTATCAAGTGTTTGGTCTGAGGCCAGATTTGAACTCAGTTCCTCCTGACTTCAGGGCCAGTGCTCTATCCACTGCACCACCTAGCTGCCCCTGAAGCTGCAGTTCTTAACCTGAAGTCCATGAACTTGTTTGTTTTTTAATATTTTGATAATTATTTTTCAATGTCATTAGTTTCCTTGGTAATCCTTATGTATTTTATGTTGTGCATTTATGAACATTATCGTGAGGAGGGGTCCATAGACTTCACCAGGCTGCCAAAGGGGTCCACAAAAAAATTTAAGAACCCCAATCTAGAGATAACTCATTCCATTTTTTAACACCTCTAATTACTAGCAAGTTTTTCATTACAGCAAGCCCAAATCCACCTATAAGTAACTTACATTCGTCTAGGAAAAGGCTGAATAATTCTAATCTCTCTTCCAAGTGTGATCTTTCAAATATTTTTAGACTGCTTCCCTTCCCTTTTCCCCCTGCCCTACATCTTCTCTTCTCCAGATTAAATATTCCCATTCCATTCAACTGATCCTTTAAGTCTCTTTATAATCATGGTTGCCTTCCTTGGTTATGCTCCAGTTGGTTATTTATTGTTCTTCCCGGCATGTGGAACCTATAAACGAACTCCAGAAATAGTTTGGCCAGGACAGAGTAAAATGGTGGGACCTAAAACACCCCTGGGCACTCTCCTTTGTTCCTTCCAGTCTTCCTTTTTTTTTTTTTGTCCTTTAGCTTCTACATCAGACAAGAAAGGAAGAAAAAGGAAACTAAAAGAAATTACTTTGGTTGTTTTCCAATGGCTCTCACTGAATTCTGGAATTGTCCAAAATGAGGACTTTGGTCTATGGTTTTCATTTATTGAATGTGCTTCCCCTCATCTTCCAGGAGAAATGAATAGTACTTTCCACCCATCCCCCAAAAAAGGTGTCTACAAATACAGGCAGAATCCTTCCTTTGACTAAAATTCTGAGATAGGAAGTTTTTTTATGTGTTCTGTGATTACATTTGGTATAGAGCAGTGCTGTTGGGGCAGCTAGGTAGTGCAGTGGATAGAGCACCGGCCCTGGAGTTAGGAGGACCTGAGTTCAAATCCAGTCTCAGACCAGATACTTGACACTTACTAGCTGTGTGACCTTGGGCAAGTCACTTAACCCCAATTGCCTCACAAAGAAAAAAAGAAAACTAAAAAAAAAAAGAACAGTGCTGTCAAATGCAAATAGAAATATGGGCCACTAAACTGTATGTAAGGATCCCTGTGGGCTACATGTTGACTTAGAAAACTAAATGTGCTTACATATTTCTTTTTTAATTAATATATCAATGCATTAATATCCTATAGGAACTCTAATTTAATCTGGTTCTAGCCATACTCAGGAGTGTTGTGGGCTATGTGTTTGACACCTCTGGTATACAGAATTCTGGGGAAGTTCACATCAAATGCAAGTTGGTACCTGTTCTACAACTTCTGGTCTTAGAGAGGTACTGGGAGGACTAGGAAATTAAGTGACTTGCCCAGGGTCACATTGTCAGTATGTGTCAGAGGTAGGACCTCATCTTTCTGTCTCTGAGACCAGGTCTCTATCCATACCACGCCACATTTTCTTAAAATGGGAGTTAGAACTCTAAAAAAAGATCTTTAAACTATATAGATGTTTCCAGGGCCAGACCATATATGGAACACAATCAATAGTTGTTCTTCTCCCCGTTTTCTCTTTCTCTACTTCAGCAGGTATTGAAGTACATAGACTCACGTTAGTCATGACTGGGGATTTTTTCCTATGTATAGCAGGAAGCACAAAAAAAGTGACTGGGATGGATGAGTCAAAGACTTCACTTAGCATCAAGGTCTTCTTGCTGATGTTGATTTGTTTCCATCACCAGATTCTTAGCCTGTGTTTCCGATTTCTATCGCCTAGACTGTTTGCCTGGCTTTTGAACCTATTGCCTCTCCTAACGTCATATATCCACTTAATCTCCTCAACCTTGTCTAGTGATCTGGACTCCAAACCCAGTGTTTGACTTGACTCCTGGTGTTGGCAAATGCCCTGACTTTGGCTAGCCAATGTGGTTTTAAAGAGTCATGACCTTGTTCTGACCTGCAGTGTTTGAATGTACTTCAGACTGATACTTGATACTGGCTTCAGATACCCAGGCTCTTCTTCAATCACCAGCTTCTTGGTCCTTCCCCAGAGCTAACTTACTCCTGTATATATGCACTACCCTGTGTTCCCTTCTTTTGATCCTCACCTTTGGATTCACAGTCTGCTGCCACCTATAAAACTGGCATGGACAGATCATGGTAAATGCTTGCAAACGACACTACACTAAAAGTACAAACTTTGTCTTAAATTATCCCAAAACCCCAAGCATCCACAGACAGCCACCTTACCAAGATCATAACTACAAATGGAAAAACTCACACCTCCTTTTTTTACATTGGCTACTGCCTTGCTACCTGTCTCCCCTGTGCCACCCTCACCAAGGAAACCCTGTAAATGGGGCTGTGAGGATCAGCCAATACCTCCACCAGGTCCTTCTGCTGGGTGCTATTCCGGTAGGTCACATACACGATGAAACTCACCATTCCCAAGATGAGTAAGACACAGGGCAAAACAAAGAGAGCTGGATGGATGCCTGGGAAAGATAACAGAACAAATCTGTGGAGGTTCAGGCATTAACTTCCAAACATAACTCTGAGGGTGAGGAAGAAATAGTAAACTTACTTTTTAGCTTGTTTATATACTAGAATCAGATCAGTATTTTTATTTTCATGTACAGGCATAACCCTTACTTCATGTAACACCAATAAATGAACTTTGGATTTAATAAAAGATTACCTGGGGGGACAGGTGATTATTCATTTCAGTATAAGATTCGCAGTGGGATTCACAAGCTCATCTATTAAAAAGATATGACTCCACCTCCACTCCATGCAACACCAGTAAACGAAAATCCAGTTTTAATAAAACATTATGGAGGGATGATTATTCACTTCAATAAAAAATTCACAGTGGAATTCATAAGCTCATCTATTAAAGAGATTTGATTTACAATAATTCTTCACACCAGGGACTTGAACCAAACCAAGAACAGGAATTAGCTAAAACGAACAAAATACACACACACACACACACACACACACACACACACACACACACACACACACACTTTTCAAAAAATGGTTAAATCAAATCTGAGTTTATTTTTATTTTATTTTGAGACTGGGTCTTCTATTTCACCCAGGCTGGAAGTACAGTGGCCACTCACGGACCTGATCTAACTGCTAACTAGCCCCAAATCTTTAACCTCCATTTTTTCTGATCTGGTACAGCTTGTCCCTTCTTAAGCCCCCTGCTCTGGTGGGCTCACCATACTGGTGTCAAACTAAATGCTGACATGTGATCTATGTAGCTTCCCGCAGTTTTGAAGAAATCCAACAGCCTCCCTCAGCCTCCCCATAGCAGAGATTAGAGGCATGTGTTACCATGTCTAGGCTGTTTATTTTATTTTTATTGAGAAGAATGTAATAATACAGTTTGAATTAAAACAGAACTTATGTTTCCTACAACTACTGACCTAGAACAAAATCAAAGTATGAAGCAAACCTGAACCAAACCAATATTTTATTTGGCTCAAATTCAAGACTTGCACCCATTTTTTCAGGAATATAATTATTGTACTGTCTGGCAAGGTGAAGTATACTGGCATAATCATGCAAAGTAGATTCAGGTGTTTAAAGAACACATCTCAGTCTGCTTAAGTTACTTCTCCCTTGGGTACACCTTAGTATACAGCACAAGAAAGAAAATCCAGCTATCTGTGGTGGGAGCTTTATAACCCAAGGTCTACAATTAATCCAATGAGTTATTCAGAATAGTTTAAAAGGCCCAAAAGAGATATTACTCAGAGCCCAGGGAATGAATGATCTGGACCAGGTTTCTAAACTATTAGAAGTTCACCAGACAAAAGTCTTACCTAATGTAAGATGCTAGTACATCATATAATAAAATGGCAATAAAAGGCAATTTGTTAAGGAAAGTATATGATTTTAAGTGGGCAGCTAAGTGGCTCCCAGATAGAGTGCTGGGCCTAGAGTCAGGAAGACTCATCTTTGTGAGTTCAAATCTGCTCCGGAATTTGTCCTGAGGCATTATTTAAAGTTGTTCAGAGGATTTGGAGGAGAGCTCCAGAGAATCCCTGCCTTTTCTCTACCATCTTGACTCCATTCTCCCCCTGGCATCAAACAGTTAGTACCTCTGTGACCCATGGCAAATCACTTAACCCTGTTTGCTCAGTTCCTCAAATGATCTGAAGAAGGAAATGACAAACTACTCCAGTATCTCTGCCAAGAAGACTCCAAATGGGGTCACAGAGAGTAGGAAGTGACTAAAATACGACTTAACAACAGCAGTGACAATCAATGATTTAAGGGTGTTCTAGAGCCAGCTCATACCAAAGGGAGCATCTATACCTCAGAAGTCAGCAAGTGTTACAAATCAAGACTTGATTTCCTTTTTTGTTGATCGTCTACACTTAAGAAAGTGAAGGAGAAAATATTAATAATGTAGATTAGATGTAAAAGTGCGTCTAGCATTTTTTTTTACCAGCATCTCCCTAGATGTAATTGACCTTGACTGGTCATGCCCAGAGTATGGAGAAAACACTGGTTTATGAGCCCAACCTCACAGATCATAGGTGGTCTCAGTCCTTCAGGGAGAAGAGGAAGGAGACCATCTGATTTACAGTAAGTACTAATGTATGGGTAAGCAATGAGGGCCAATTACTGGACTAAAGGATGTTTAGAGTTGGATAAGGCATGGTTTCCCAAATTAACTTGGTCATAGAACATTTTGGGTGTGGACAATATAATTAACATTAATAAGTATCAAACCAACAGTAAACTAATAATTAAGCTTAAAAGCTTCACACTGCAGTAAGACTTTTGGGATATCCTGTGTAGTGCTTTAAGGTTTACAAAGTACATTATGTGGTCAAAGGATATGAACAGACAGTTCTCAGATGAAGAAATTAAAGCCATCTATAGTCATATGAAAAAATGCTCTAAATCATTATTGATTAGAGAATTGCAAATCAAAACAACTCTGAGGTACCACATCACACCTATCAGTTTGGCCAACATGACAAAACAGGAAAATGATAAATGTTGGAGAAGATGTGGGAAAATTGGAACACTAATACATTGTTGGTGGAGTTGCGAAATGATCCAACCATTTTGGAGAACAATTTGGAACTATGCCCAAAGGGATACAAAAATGTGCATACCCTTTGATCCAGCAATAGCACTTCTAGGGCTATATCCCAAAGAGATCAAACAAATGGGAAAAGGACCCACATCTACAAAAATATATTCATAGCAGCTCTTTTTGTGGTGGCAAAGAATTGGAAATTGAGAGGATGCCCATCAACTGGGGAATGGCTGAGCAAGTTGTGGTATATGAATGTAATGGAATACTATTGTGCTATAAGAAATGATGAACAGGCTGACTTCAGAAAAACCTGGAAAGACTTATATGGTCTGATGCTGAGTGAAGTGAGCAGGACCAAGAGGACTTTGTACACAATAACAGCCACGTTATGCAATGACTAAGAACGTTAAACTGAACCCTTCTCAGCATTATGAGGATCTAAGACATCTCCAGAGGCCTCGGGATGGAAAATGCTGTCCACATCCAAAGAAAGAACTATGGAAGTCGAATCACTATCACTTATTTTTACCTTCTGTTGAGTTTTGTTTCATCTTTCTGATGGTTCCTCCTATTGGTTTTAATTTTTACTTACAACTTCACTAATGTGAAAATATGTTTAATGGGTATGTAAATGTAAAGCCTATGTCAGATTGTGTGCCATCTTGGGGAGGGTAGGGGGGAGGAAAAGGGAGAAAAATTTTCAACTCAAAAGCATATGGGAAAAAAAAATAAAAACAAAGTACATTATGTGTGCTTAAATCACTTAATCCTCATACAAACCCTGTGAAATAAGTGTTATTATTATCATCTATTTTACAAATGAAGAGTCAAAGACCTAGAAGAAGGCACCCATAAAAGTAAGTCTGAGGGATGGGGAAGGACAGGAGGCGCAAAATACACTCTTACTCAGTAAAAGGGAATCAGGGAAATTTTGGAGCCAAATAGACAAAATTAAATCTACTTTCAGGCCACAGCATTGACAAAAAGAGAAATTGAAGTGTAATGGAAAAAGCACTGGACTTAAGTCAGAAGATCTGAATCTAAATGTTGGCTGAATCTGAACCTGTGTGTGACCCTGGGCAAGTCACTTCCCCTCTAGAGACCTGAGACTCCTCCTGGGTAAAAGAGCAATGGCTGGGGTTGGCTATGGGAGTCAAAGTGGGGTGGATGAGATAATATCTAAGCTCTCTCGTAGCAGTTGATTCTGTTCCCAACTGCCTTTGATTTTGTTGTTGTTGTTCAATCATTTTTCAGTCATGTCCTACTCTTTGCAGCCCCATTTGAGGTTTTCTTGCCAAAGATACTGGAGTGGTTTGCCATTTCCTTCTCCAACTCATTTTACAGATGAGGAAACTAAGGCAAACAGGATTCAGTGACTTGTCCAGGGTCACATAGCTAGTAAGTGTCTGAGGCCAGATTTGAACTTAGGAAAATGAGTTTTTCTGATAGCTACTGTGCTACCTAGTTGCCCTGTTAGGTAGGCTCTATTATTCTCCCCGGTTTTATAGATAAGGAAATTCAGGCAGAGAGTTTAGTGACTTATCCAGAATTCCTCAGTTAATAAATGTTTGAGGCAGGATTGAACTCAGGTCTTCCTGACTCTAGGTCCAACACTCTATGCATTGCACACCTTGCTTCCCGGTGAGCTAAGAGCTATCAGAGGCAGTATTGGCACCCAACTCTCCCTTATTCCAAGTTCAGCACTAATTCCACTACACCACTATTGTTAGGGTGGGAGATCTTCCACTTTGACTCTCCTCACTGCAAGATGCTTCCCTAAGCTTGGCCACACAACCTGATTGTTTGGCCCTCCCTTTCGAATGGAAGGCCTCTCACATATCCTCTCCTCACAGGCTCTTTCACCCATGCAGCAGCCAGAGGCAAAAAACAAAAACAAACAAACCAAAAAAACCTTGTCCATCCCTTACTATATACTGCCAGGCCTCCCACTCCCTCTCTTTTACCCCTTTTATTTCCTCCCTTCTTCAGAGTCATGGGAGAAAGTGCCTCTTCTTCTTCCTTTCAATGAATAATCTGCCCTAGCATTGACATGCTTTCACAAAACCTCTGCTTACATCTTCCAGAACTCCCAGGCTCCATGGAACAATTAAGGAAACTAGGATTTAGTCAAAGACTAGTCTGGCAGAACAAGCACTGGATTGCGAATCACAGGAATTGATTCTGAGTCTCAGCTCTGCCACTTACTAACTATATAACCTTTTGTGGCTTAATGTCTCTGAGCTTTGATTTCCTCTTCTGTAAAATGAGGGGGTCCAACTAGATGGCCTCTAAGTGTCCTTCTAGATCTAAATCTAGGGTCCTTTGATTAACATAACTGAGATAGAGAGAGATAAAGTGACTTGCCCAAATTGAGGTTTTTCTGCTATTCTTATTCAAAATATTAGCCTTATAGGAAGTAGGAGATCACCATAGATTATCTATAACAGAAAATGGACTCTTTGCCCCAAAATGATTTCCACTGCCTCTTATAGTACATGAAAATTATTCTTAAGCATAATTATTAGATTATACATTTCATTATCAATTCATTAATTAATGTAGAATGTAATTATGGTGTTATAATTAAAGATGGGGGCAGCATAGTATAATGTAAAACATCCTGGATTATCTACCATCTGTCTCTATCTATCTGTCTATCTCTCTGCCTATCTATAACAATAACAAAATCTCATTATTAGGTCCAGGCAGCTTGCCACTAATTAGGTGTGTGACCTTGGACAAGTCACTTCTATAGGTCTTAGCAGGTTTATTATTTGTAAAATAAGATGATTAAACTAGGTGATATCTAAAGGCTAAAAATTTTGCACATGATTTTCCAAATTGCTCTGGGAACTGAATACTTTTTACACTCGAAGAGTTCCTCATTAAACTGCAGATATGCTCAGAGCATCAGCACGAAACAACTGTTATCTGCCAACAGTTTAGCTGAGATTATTAGATGCTTAACTGAGAGTAAGTTTCCATAGGGAGAAAACCCCTAAAGGTGTCAGGTACACACACAAGGGAAATGAAGAAGAGGTGGGTGGGCACCAAAGACAAATTTCATCTGCTTCTCTTTTTTCATAAGAGTCCAATCACTTACCAGTGGCCCACACTTTAATCAGGTGATATTGATGCAGATAATTGATGCCATACTGGACTCTGACGCTGAGACAATACTGTCCTGGATCCTTGAAGGTGTGGTTCACGTTGTAAGAGGTACTATTTACCACCACCAGGTGGCACTCATTTCCTTCTAGTAGAACACAGTCTGGCTTGATGAGCCAGCATAAAGTCAGAGGAGAACTGAAAATAGACAAAATGAGAAGAAAAAAAAAAGACATAAATGGCTTTTAAGAAATGACTTTAAATATGGATCACATTGGGGATTGGCTGAACAACTTGTGGTATACAATTGTGTTGGAATATTACTGTGCTATAAGAAATGATGAGCTCAATGTTATCTTAGAAAAACATGTAAACTCAAAAGCTTATGGAAGTGATTGTTGATAAATAGAAATAAATTAAGAAAAAAAGGAAAACATGGAAATATTTGCATGAAATAATGAAGAATGAAATGCACAGAACCAAGAGAACATTGTATACAGTATTAGCAATATTATTTTAAGAACAACTTTGAATGTATAAGTCATTTTGTCTATCATAAATACCCAAATTAACTACAAAGTCATATGAAGAATGATGCTATCTGCATCCAAAGACAGAACTGATAAATAAAAGTCTGCATAGAATAATTTGACATTTATATACCTATTTGTGTCTCATAGTAGCCACCTCTAGGGCAGGGATGGGTAGAGGGAAGAAAAAAAAATTGCATGATCATTTTGTTGTATATTTGAAAGGAATAGCAAGTTGTGTATAGTAGATTTGCAATTTTATGTACAATCCCCTTTTTATTGTACTGTGTTATGGACATACTTGTTTTAAATGCATAAATTAAAAATAAAATTTTAAAAACATAGAACCATAGTGACTCAGAATTCGAAGGGAACCTCAGATCAAAGGTCATCTAGTTTAATCCATAACTGAAAAGGAATGCCCTCCACAAAATAGCTGCCAAACGATCATCAGAGAATACTGGAGCTAGAAAGAAATTTACACATTAGCTAGTCCAAGGTTTTGGGGGTTTTTTTGTTTGTTTTGGGTTTGGTTTTTTTGTTTTTTATGTTGTTGTTGTTGTTTGCTTTGTTTTTGTCATCGACTAGGGACCTGCTAGAGCCAGCTTGAGTTATCCCTGGAAAAAAAGTGATTGTTAAATTTTCAATGTAAGCATTTACACTTTGAAAATTGGCAAATGCTACAAATCAGGCTTTGACTTATTGTATTATTGGTTGTCTAGACTCAAGACTAAGCTTAAAAGTATGTAATGGGTACAGTTTTTCTCCCAGGGGAAAAAAAACATTTTAAACAGAAAACTGTCTAACATTTATCGACACACCCCTGCAGGAAGTCTAGCAAAACTTATGGACCCTCCTTGCAGAATAATGTTTTTAAATGCACAAAATAAAATCCTTAGGATTATAAAGGAAACCAATTATATTGGCTTCTTTTATATGAAGGAATTATATTGGCTCCCTTTATAGCTGGCTATAATTGTATTTTATTTTTATTTAATACAGTTACCAAAATATTTTAAAAAAAAGTCATGGACCTCACATTAAGAAATCCTGAGCTATTCCAATCCTTTGATTTTCTATAGTACAAACTGAAGTCCAGAGAAGGGTAATGATTTATCCAAGGTCACCTAACTAGTACGTGGCAAAATTAGGGCTAGAACCCAAGTGTCTTACTAAACAGTCCAGGGCTTACACTAGCCTGACTCCTTTGTGCAGTTCCTTGAAATTGACTGTAAGGGGTGAGATTTGCCCTGGCTGCCACACATATTTGTCAATGACATCAAATTGGTAGCCCTCTCAGGGCTCTAAGAAAAATTGCAAGGTAGGGGAGGCCTGTCTTATGAACACTCCCACAACCCTTACCACAATCCTGTACTTATTGCCAGGTACCAGGTGCCTACTTATTGCCTTCTGGGATATGTAACTTAACATTTCACTTCTAGAAGGTTATCTCTTGTCTACAAAACGCCTAGAGCATCAAGAGACAAAAGGGCTAAATCTAAGGACATGATTAGAAGAAAAAAAAAGTCCAGGGGAAGCCTTAAATTTTCTTGCCACAGTTGCATCATTCTTAGAGATCTTGAAGTTAGTTGTCTTTCCGAAAACAAATTTCATATACATTTAACCACAAATGTTTATTTAATATCACTAGTGCTGTGTATACAAGGATGAAAATCCACCTTGTCCCAGTTCTCAAGAAGTTTATAATCTGATTAGGCACACAATTTAGTTTATATTTGCAAATGTGCATGTTAGAAAGTCCAATAATAACCTACTACCGAGGGAAAAATAGTTGTGGGAACTGGCTAGCTGAGAGGTGTGTCCCGCAAATAACAGAAGTAAAATTAAAACTTGTTAAACAAGAACTTCCTTGCAAATTGAGAGTCTTCAGGTTTGAAAAAACATCTAAGTGATTTTCAGGTGACCCACCAAATTTTCACTAGTTCATCTTTCAGCACCCACAGTTGCAGCTTACCAACATAGTGCTAAAGTCTCAAGCAATGCTTTGTGGAGGAATGGGACACAATAAATGAAGTTCTCCATGGTGCCTTCCATGCACACTCCAGTCCATAACTTATTCTGTCACAGAATTTTAGAGTGTCAGAATCTTTAGAAGGCACTTAATTAACCTATTCCCCAAACAGGAATTCCCTCCAAAACATCTTTTCTGCAACGAGCAGTCAACCAGGTTGTATTTGACAACCTCCAACTTACTACCTAATGAGACATGCCATTCCATGGTCAAGACATTTTTCCATATAACAAGGTTAAATCTGTCTCTATAACTTCTCCTTGGTTTTGCTCTCTGGAGACAAATGAAATAAAATCTCTTAAGGAGAAGCTAGGTGATGCAGTGGATAGAAGGCAGGGCCTAGAGTCAGGAATAGTTATTTTTCATGAGTTCAAATAGGTTCTCAGACACTTACTAGCTGTGTGACCTTGGGCAAGTCATTTAACCCTGTTTGCCTCAGTTCCTCATCTACAAAATGAGCTGGAGAAGGAATTAGCAAACTACTCCAGTGTCTTTGCCAAGAAAACCCCAAGAGTTGGACACGACTGCAATGACCACCAACAACAAAATACTGTCTTCCCTAAGTCATCTCTTCTCCAGGCTAACTATTCCTAGCTCCTTCAACTGATCCTAAAGATGGAATGGTTTTGATTTCCTTATAATTCTGGTAACTTCCTTCAGATTTGCCCCAGATTTCATTATCCTAAAAAATGGCACTCATAGCTAAATACAATACTTCAGGGCTTGGAGCAAAACAATTTGTATGTTCTTTCTTTCTTTTTTTAGGCAGAGTTAAGTGACTTGCCCAGGGTCACATAGGTAGTGTCAAGTGTTTGGTCTGAGGCTATTTTTACTGGAACTCGGGCCCTCCTGACTTCAGGGCCAGCGCTCTATCCACTGCACCACCTAGCTGCCCCTGCATATGTTATTTCTTAAGGGAGTCAAAATACATTCATTGTTTCTTATATCTAGAGGCTGGTGGGAGAGAAGATCAGAAGACTGAATTACAGACTAGTAATCACAATAGGAAGTTGACATAATCCAAGAAATACAAGCAGTGTGCAACAGAGACCTTCACCAACATCCAGGTTCCTCTAAAAAGTGGCCTCACTCTCTTTTATAAAGGCATGGAGCATTGTTCACAAGGGTCCGTATCAGTTACAGGAAAAGAAACAATAAGATCTTGAGAGGTCCAGAAGATAGAGGTGATCTAGGCTGTGTGTGATCCTACGTAAGTCACTGAATCCTGTTTGTCTCAGTTTCTCTCATCTGTAAAATGAGCTGGAGAAGGAAATGGTAAGACCCACATCTGGTGCAATTCTAGACCAATTCCTAGTCCTTAAGAGAGCACATAGGATCACTGGATCATGAATTTAGATCTGAAAGGGACTTTAGAGGTCATATAATTCAGAGGTATCAAACATGTGGTCTGAGGCCACGTGGAAAACTAGATTAAAATGTAATTGGGAAACATTTAACAAAGTAAATAAAGCTAGACACAGCATAGACAAAGTGAATTTTAATTTCCTAAGTCAATATGCAGCCAGCAGGAATTCATTTCTACTTGAGTTTGACACCATTGATCTATTTCAACTCTTCCTTTTTCAGAAGAGGAAAATGAGACCTGAAGAGGTTATGACTTGTCCCATGGGGTATGACAAGTGGTGAGGAGAAGAACCAAGATTTGAATACAGGTTTCTACGTTCGGTATGCTCTTTGTTGTACCACAGTGGAAGACAGATGAAGAAATTCGGCATTTGCTAGGCATCTGTTAAGTTCCTGCTATATATTTGGCATTATGCCAAATTTTAAGGTTGTCACATGGAAAATAGACTTGTCCTTTTTGGTCTTGGGGATGGAACTGGAAACGATGGATAGAAGCGACATAGAGGCAAATTTAGGCTTGATAGGAAAGACTTCCTAAAAACTTGAGTGGAATGGACTATTACGGGCAGTAATGGGCTCCCTCCTAGTTGGTGGTATGCTAGTAAATGTTTAACAACATGATCTCCAAAAACAAATGTACAAGTATGCACAATACACCTTTAAGTTTAATCTGCCTTATCAAAATTTTCTCCATCACTCTCCTGCATTTAGACAATCAACAAAACAATAAATCAAGCCTGATTTGCTTGTTTGCTGATTTCCAAAGTGTAATGCTCACACTGAAAATTTAACAATTGGCTCTCTTGGTTTGAGCCAGCTCCATTACACCCCTGCCTTCTTTAGAGGTGTTCAGGCTGGTACTATATGATCACTTGTTACATGTGGTATAGTGGGGTTTCCTTTTCAAGTATAGGTTGGGGGTGTCTGTTGCTGTGATTGTGTGGCATAGAGAAGAATTAGAAGACATAGATCCTGCTCTGTACAAGCTTACAGTCTAGCTGAAGAGACAAAACAGACAAATATGCCACAAATAAAAACCTAAACTAAGTACAGGTTAAGACAGAATTAGATGTTATATGTAAGCAGTAAGCTAATATTAATAATAACTCTGCTTTCTATAGCACTTTATAGAATTTCTCAAAGAGCTACAATATACTTTTCTCACCACACTTCTGAGAGGTAGGGACTGCAAATATTATTCCTAATTTTACAAATGAGGAGATTGAGGTTCAGAGATACTAGATGACTTGTCCAATGTCAATTAGCTAGTTAGAACAAATCACCTTTCCACTATACCAGGAAAGTGGGGTATGATTCGAGGGGGATGCGATTAATCAGAAGAAGTTTGTAAGACTGATGATAGATAGTTAAATAGATATAGAGATAGAGCATTTATTACGTGATATACTAAATAAATTTAATTATTTAGTTACTACATTAAATTTAATTTATATTTATTATATATTTTATTTATTGTATATATTATATAAATATTTATATTTAATTTAATTACTTAATTACTATATGCCAAAGAGTATAAAAGAAAACCCTGTCTGAGATGAGAGATATAGGGACAGAGTCAGTCCAGCTGCTGCCACTGCAGCTGCTGCCCCACTAGTCACTACCACCACCCTGTCCCGCACTCCCATCTGCCTTTCCTCAACACTGCCACTCACTCCAGGCACAGAACATTCAGTCATGGATAAAAATGAGTCGGTGCCGAAGGCCAAATTGGCTGAGCAGGTTGAGAGATATGATGGCGTTGCAGCCTGCATGAAGTCTGTAACTGAGCAAGGAGCTTAATGAACCAATGAGGAGAGGAATCTTCTCTCTGTTGCTTACAATAATGTTGTAGGGGCCTGAAGATCATGTTGGAGGGTTGTTTCAAGTATTGCGCAAAAGACGGAAAACGCTGAGAAAAAACAGCAGATGGACAGAGAATACAGAGAGAAAATCGAGACCAAACCCACTCTATCTGCAATGATGTACTGTCTCTATTGCTTCACTAGCAGAAAGCAAAGTTAGAAAAAGTTTGAAAATGAAAGGATACTATTACCATTATTTGGCTGAGGTTGTTGCTGCAGATGACAAGAAAGGAAAAGTGGATTAATCACAACAAGTGTATCAAGAAGCATTTGAAATCAGCAAAACAGAGACGCAACCAATGCATCCTATAAGCCTGAGTCTGGCCTTGAACTTCTCTATGTTCTGTTACCAGATCCTGAACTCTCCAGAGAAAGCCTGCTCTCTTGCAAAGACAGCTTTTGATGAAGCCTTTGCTGAACTTGATACATTAAGGGAAGAATCAAAGATAGCACACTAAAAACGCAATTACTGAGAGACAATTTGACATTGCGGATATCAGATACCCAAGGGGACAAAGCTGAAGCAGGAGAAGGAAGGGAGAATTAACCAGCCTTCCATCTTTTGTCTGCCTCATTGTAAAATTTACACACAGTAGACCATCTGTCCTCCATGCTGTCCCACAAACAGTTTTTATTTACAATTTATGACAGGTTCATGTTACTTCTATTTGGATTTCTATATTTCCCATGTGTTTTTATGTTTAATACTAGGGGAGTAGAGTCAGTTAACATTTGGGGAGTTATCTGTTTTCATCTGAGGTGGCCAATATGGGAATATGGAATTTTTATACACATTTTATATGTTTGGTAGAGTATTCTTGGTACACTGTGATTTCACAAGGCCAGTGTTAAAACAGCGTCCACATCTAGGTAAAGAAAACTGCCTACATATGGGTCTGTTGTGGTAAGGGGATAAAGGGGTAATTGGTTGTAGTCACAGGTGTAGTTATTGTAGGTACTTTAGGGTTGGAGCCTTCATGACTGTGGTAGAAACAGACGTCCCATAGATATTAGATGTCATTCCATGTGTTATCTGTGGAATATAAAAGCTCAACGTGTATACCTTTATGATTGCAGTTGCAGAAGTATTTCTTAGACAAAGTTTTAACCCAGTCAATTTACTCTGGAGAAGGGCAGAAACAGTGCACATTCCATTATTTGTAAAGTTACCTGCTGTTCGCTTTCATTATTTTTGCTACACTCATTTTATTTGTATTTAAATGGTTTAGGCAATCTAAGCACAAATGTACAAGTAAAGATGCAGTAAAAATGAATTGCTAGGGGCAGCTAGGTGGCACAGAGGATAAAGCACCGGCCATGGAGTCAGGAGGACCTGAGTTCAAATCTGACCTCAGACACTTGACAATTACTAGGTGTGTGACCCTGGGCAAGTCACTTAACCCCAACTGCATTGCCAAAAAAAAAAAAGAATTGCTTTTACTCATAAAGTCACTATATATCAAACACAGCAGTAAAACAAAACACCCATGTGTTTAACTTTTTTTAAGGCTTTTTGCTTTTGTGATTCTTTTGAGACTTGCCTAACATATATGTCCTGTAAAAATAGTTAACAGGGAAATAGCTTGAGTTGATGGCTAGCTTTGTTTAATGTCTTATGAAATTTTCAGGAACAATCCAAGCATAACTGTTAAGAACATTTGTATTTAGTTGATGTAAATGGAATAAAAGTTTTATGAATAGGAAAAAATAAAGGAAAAAAAACCCTTTCTGATGAGACCCCATCCCACCCAAAATTAAAAAAATAAACCAAACCAACTATTGTCTACTTAGACTGCACTTAAAAATAAACATTTCCAGATAGTAATCACACATATACTAGAGGGGCTCCTTTTTCACTTCTTTCTTTCCTCTGCAGACAACTGCTAGGTGTAGCCTACAGAGGGGACAGCAAGTGGATGAGAGACAAGAATACATGTGCAGACACTTTAATGGGATGACATTTTCAAATACAACACATTACTGGACCAATGGACCCATTGTCCAGAATCCCTAGATATCAAGCCACTTCCTATGTGGTCCAAACCTAGGGGTTGTGAACTTGCTTTTTTTTTTAATATGTTGAGAACAATTGCAATACAATTGGTTTCCTTTGTGATCCTATGTATTTTATTTTATGGATTAAAAAGTCATTCTGAGAAAGGGACCATGGGCTTCACCAGACTGCCAAAGGAGATCATGACACAAAAAAGGGTAAGAACCACTTCTTTAAAGGCTATTATATGACAGAAACTGTCTTCAGATGGTCACTCAGAACTCAGAACTGGAAGTGACCTTAGAGGCCTTCTCCTCCTTTATTTTACTGATAAGAAAACTGAGGCCCAGAGAAATGAAGTGATTTGCCCAAGGTCACATACGTAGGAAATGTTAGAAGACTGGTATAAACCTAGTCAGTTGGTCAACAAGCATTTATTAAGCTCCTACCATGTACCAAGTACTATGCTAAGTGCTGGGTCCTTTATCTTTTCCACTGTACTCTCTGCCTAGTGACAAGGAAAGTTGATAATCTCAGATCATCAGAAATCCAGATCAAGGTTAAATCCCTATATGAGCAGTAAGACTGCACTTTATACCTCTGCTAGCCAACTCACAAACACAGCCTACCATGGGGCAGAGAAAGGGAGAGAAGGAAAGAAGAAGAGAGCAAGGGAAGGCATTTTTTGAACCAATCAGTATGATGGCCAGTAAACACTAATCTTACTTTCATTAACCCCAGTTAGAACAGGGGATCTGGGACTGAGGAGGAGCTACTGCAGAGCCTGGGACCTAGAAGGTACCTAATAAAGGTTTGTTGATTGATTGATTGATGTATGATTAAGTGAGGGTTTTCTCCTACATAGCTCTAGAGGACTGGGCATAGCTGCTCCTGCTGGAGCTGAGAGGGGGAAAAACAGAGTAAAATAACAAATATTTTACTAAGAATCTGAGCAACACTATAGAAAAGTGGTGTAATAGGGAGATTAGAAAATAGTAGTGCTCTTGTTTCTTACCTCCCAGTGATATGCAGAGAGAAGGTCACACTTTGCATCACTTTTGTCTCATTCAATCCTGAGACTTGGATGCTTCTAATAGCATCTGAAACATAGAATTTAACAATTTATCACAAACAGGTAGATGTTAGCCACAGATGACCCTATGTGAGGTGAACTGAAAAAAAAAATTTTAATCTGATTCATTAGGATTGACTTTGAGGGGTATGGGAGGGAGGAAGAGAAGATTTATAGTCTGAAATCATACTGACATACAGTGGCCCTAAAAGATTCCTGGTTTGTACAGAGATAGGATAAAATTGGATGAAAGGCATAGTCAATGTTGGATAAGCCATAAAAAGGCAGTCACACTAATGGACTGTTGATGGAGCTGGGAATTGGTATTACTATTCTGAAAAGCAATTTGAAACTCTGAAAGTAACTAAATTGTGCATTCCCTTTGACTCTGTGGTACCACTACTGAGTTTTTATAAAACCCCAAGGAAGTCAAAGATATAATAATAATAATTAATATGATATGACATAACAACATAACACTAATATAATACAATAACTAGCATTTATATTGTCCTTTAAGGTTTGAAAAACACTTTAAATATATCTCATTTTATCCTCCCAACAACCCTAGGAGGTAGGTATTATTATTATTATCCCTATTTGACAGATAAGGAAACAGTGCTAAAGCTGGATTTGTGCAATTTTGCACATCAAAGCTATTCTTCTTTGTTTACCTCAACCTGTGTTTTTGCATTCCATTGGTACATTGACTCTTATAACAAATACGCTTTACTTTTTTATCTCTAATTTGTTTTATTTCTGCTTGGTTTAACATTCTAGCTTTCCCAACCAGGTGAAGTGGAATTAAATTGTGCAGCACTACGAGGGAGTAATTGCTTATAGCAACAATACCTTTCTAGATGTTATTTCTGTGTCGTTGTTGTTCATCTTTTGTTTTGGAAGAGGGCCAATGACATCACTGGTGACATACTGACTTGCGAATGGATTGGATTTAAGTGCAGCAGAGTTGCTCAAAGTCACCAGGCTCATTCTCTCTCTTCCTGGGTCATTGAAGTCCAGTGGCTGGACAAAAGTCAAGATGATTGGCCATGGCCTGGGATGCAGTGCACGACCTTGATGTCTTTGATGCCTGACCAAGCCTGTAAGCACTCCACAGCATCTACTTCAGCCCTCTTCATGGCCACTGGAACAAATTGTTCTCATCTGCCCATTCCAGTGGGGAAGGTCTTCACGTCTCCCTAATTCACTGCCAGGTTTGAGGCCTATTGGTTACCCTCAACTTGGTTTAGCTGTCTGCCAAAAAGGTTTACCAGGGTGTGGCCACCACACACGCTACAGCTTCTTAGAGCCACAGTTGAGAGTTGGGTGAAGGCCCTGAAAAGGGCTTGGCGTGCACTCAGAGCAGAGGTGCAACTCCTCCTGAATACCCCACACACCCCTATTTCTGTGTACCTTTGTAACCAATATATCTTAGAAGCCAGAGGGAACCCCTGGAGTTTAATAAGTAGGGCAATAACACAGACCTGTGCTTTAAGAATTTCATTTTTGCAACTGTGCAGAAGATGAGCTGGAGATGTTGCAACCCACCCAATTTGTCTAAGATCACACAGTGAGTCCCAGCATAGCTGTAACCTAAACCTAGTCCTAATTTCTAGGCCAAGGGTTTTCCACTAAAACAAGTTTAACTCAGTGCCAAGATTCTTTGAGTTTCCTCGTCCTGCTTCTCTGCCAGTAATTCTATCTTCATCTGTGGGTGATGAGCTCTAGCCGACAGAAGTGACGCCATTTTTGTTCACTGATTGATCCTGTGTTCCTATGTACCCAACAACTGACTTGGCCAGCTACATTTAGGGATAGGAATGGAAGGTTAGCAGAGTATCAGTTTAGCAAACTTCATCTAATCTCGGTTAGCAAACTTTACTAATCACAGCATCCTTGTGGTCGATAAGGGGGGGTGGGGTTGCAGTCCAGTGCACCTTCTGACTGAGTGCCCCTAAACTCTCCTTCCTTCTCAGTTCTTGTGATTCTGGCCAGGAATCACAATCAAATACAAGGGCAGGGACCCAGGAGATCTGGGCTCTCAATTGGAGTACTAGTCTGCTGTATGTCCAAACCATTGTCATCATTGTGTTCCTGTACTCTGAAGGCTGAGGGAACCACACACATACTTAAATGTCTGTGAGTAATCAACTGCTTGACTCGTGATCCTTTGAGGGCTTAAGCTCCTTCTCCATATCTCTTCATCCACAAATCCCTCATAATCTTCAAGGAGTAGAAGCTAGGGGAGGGTGCTACAAAAGGGATTCATGCCTATGGTACACTAGATGGCCTCTAAGGGCTCTTGCAAATTCAAATGATACTTAACACAGAGTTCAGCAGGCATTCTCTCTCTATCAGCAGCCTTACATACCTTCAGCCCACTTTCTTTGATTAGTACCTTTGTCAACTTACATGAAAATAGCAATATCTGACATTCATATTTAAGGGTTACAAAGTACTTTACATGGAGGAATGGGAGACTGGGTCTCCTCACTCAGGCTGAAGGTACAGCAGCTGTTTAAACATTTTCAGTCATGCTCAACTCTTCATGATCCCTTTGGGGTTGTTTTTTTGCTTGTTTGTTTGTTCTGGCGAAGATAGTGGAGTGTTTTGACATTTCCTTCTCCAGCTTATTTTACAGATGAGAAAACTGAGTTAAACAGGGCTAAATGATTGGCCCAGGGGTCACACAGCTCTAAGTATCTGAAGCCAGATTTGAACTCAAGTCTTCTGATTCCTGATTCAGTGCTCCATCCACTGTACCACCTAGCTATCCATTGCACCACCTAGCTGCCCACTCATGGGCCTAATCCCCATACTGATCATCATGGAAGCTTTGACCTGTTCTTATTTGTTTGTCCCTCCTTAGGCAGCCTGGTAGCCCTCCGATCCTAGGGGCTCATCATTTTGGTGCCAGACCCACTATAGACTATCGGCTTTAGCCCTACTGTAACTCAGAACTCTTGGACTCAAGTGATTCACAAGCCTCAGCCTCCCCAGCATCAGAGATTATAGGAGTATACCACCAAGTCTGGCTCCCCATTGCCTTTTTGTGAAAAAAAAATTATCGATGTCTTTTTTTTCATATTGTCATAGTTTTCCACATAATTCCTCTTTTTCCTTCTCAGAGAACCATCCCAAATAACAGAGAATTTTTAAGGAGGGGGGGATCAGCACAACGGATCAATATATTGAAAACATGTGCAATATGTAACATCCATGGACTTCCCACCTCTGGTCAAGGTGAGCTGGGGGTTTCCCTCTAATATCTCTTCATTTTTGAGTCCCACTTGAGCTTCATAAGTTTACAACATTCACTTTTTATTTGTGTGTGTGTATATAGTTCTTTCCATTTATATCATCATAGCAATTGTATCTATCTATTATTTTCTTGGCTCTATCTACTTCACCCTGTATCAATTCATATAAATCTTTCCATGCTTCTTTATATTCATCACATTTGTCATTTTTTACAGCACAGTGATATTCCATTATTTATATACCACAATTTGTTTAGTCATTCCCCAATCAATGGATACCTATTTTGTTTCCAATTCTTTGCTTTCACAAAAAGTACTGCTATAACTATTTTGGTGTCCCCACAGGACTTTTTTCTTATCAATGGCTTCCTTTGGGTATAAGCCACATAATAGAATCTCTGGGTCAAAGGGTGTGGACATTTTATATAGACTTTATTTGAAAAATTCCATATTGTTTTCCATAATAGTTGTACCAATATATAGCTCCACCAGCAATCATCAATGTGCCTATCGTCCTCCAACCCTTCCATCACTGATTTGCCATTTTTGGTCATCTTTGCCAATTTGCAGGATGCAAGATAAAACCTCAGACTTGACATTTCTCTTATTAGTGATTTGGAGCATTCTTTCATGTGGTTGTTAATACTTTGCTATTTATTCTTTTTTTGAGAACTATTTGTTTATATTGTTTGACCAAGTGAATTGTCTGGGAGTAGGATTCTGGACTGTATATCAGATGCCTTAATCATTAAAATCCTTCCTAAGGGGAGGATCTCCAATTTGTTAAATAAGAGATCATGTCATGTGCGTGAATGTTGATAGTTGTTGTTTTATCTTTCCTTGATCTGTTTTCCAGGTCACTTGTCTTTGATAGGAGATACCTTATATTTTCTTCTATTCTTTCAATCCTTTAATTTTGTTCTAATATTTTTTATTGTTTCATGGAGTTATTGACTCTTGGTTGGTCCATTCTAATCTTTAGAGAGCCTGTTTCTTGGGTAAGTAAGTAAACTTACTACCATCTTTTCTAAGATATTAATTTTCCTTTCAGGTCTTTCCCCCATAGCTTTCCTGTCATTTATAATCTCTTGCTTCTTTTCTTCTAGGCATTCTTGTAGTCCTTGCAGCCAAGTCATTTTCTCCTATGAGGCTCTGTTATAATTGTGGTCTTATCTCTTCCTCTGGGTTTTTCTTTTGGTCTATTTTTGAAACATAATATTTCTTTCTTCTTTTTTTCTTTTTAAATTTTTATATTTATTTTATTTTATTTTTTGGTCACATTTTGAGTTCTGAGTTGTCTCCCTCCTTTCCTCACTTCCTCCCAACCCCACATTAGAGAAAGCCAACATTTGATATGGATGCATATGTGGAACCATAGAAAACATACTTCCACATGTCCATTCTTTCTCTGGAGGTGGATAGCATTTTCCTTCATAAGTCCTTTGTACTTGATTTGAATGTTCACATTACTCAGAATAGCTTGGAAATTCATAGTTACTCTTTAAATAACATTGCTGTTACTATATACAACATTCTCTTGATTCTGCTTGTTTCCCTCTGCATTATGCAGATCTTTCCGTTTTCTAAAATCAACCTGCTCATCATTTCTTATAGCACAATAGTATTCCATCACAATCATATGCCACAACTTATTCAGCCATTCTCTAATTGATAGGCATCCCCACAATTTCCAGTTCCTTGCCACCACAAAGAGAGCTGCCATAAATATTTTTGTACACATGGAGAATTTTCCTTTTTCCCTGGTGAC